TAATTCACTTTCAATGTGTTCTTTCACTGTTTGGATTTGCTGTCTCGTATCCTCTTTAAGGTTCCATTCCATCTGTCTAAGGTATTCCTTGAGATCTTTATATGACCATTTTTCTAATGACTCTAGATCCTCCTGAATATTTAGGCTGTGCTTCATTGTTTGTACTCCTTTTATTCCTTGCTTTTTTATGCTGCTCATGTTACTTCTTGTTCTATTTGACTGCTGAGTTACTGTTTATTCTTATAAATTTATTTGATGCTTGGGAGGAAGTATAATAGAAGGGAAGGGAAGAAGTCACTAAAGAGAATGAGAGTAGGCAGGTAGAATTCAAGGAAGGGGGAATAAGAAAATTGAAAAGAAATGAAAAGACAAAAGAAAAAAAATAGAATATAAAGAAAGAAAAAAAATATTTTTTTTAAATAATAAACATAATAAAAAAATGAAAATGAAAATTTAAAGAAATAATACTAATAATAATAAAATAGAAAAATTGAAAAAAAATTAAAAACATTAAAAAAAGTTAAAGAACAACAACACCAACAAAAAAATGAAAATGAAAGAAAAAGAAAAAAAAATAATAATAATAAATGCATTCATAGAGTTCGATTAACTTCTCTTCCAGTAGGTGGAGCTGTGCCCACTGGGCCAAGTTTCTCCTCTCAATAGGTGGGAACCATTCACTGTGCAGCAGTTCTTCCTCCCAGAGTGGGCGGGTCTCCAATCCTAGGGCCTTCTCTTGTGTTTCCTCAAGCCAGGCCCCGCTCACCTGTGACACTTACCACAATACTGGTTACACGCCAGGTCTGCTGCTCCTGGGAGCCCTGTTTTCATGAACGGCTGGGCACACTCTCTCTGTTTGCCTCCCTCAGACCCTAAGTTTATAGAGCTTGGGGGTGAGAACCCCCAGCGAATTTGCTTGCCCTCCAGTAGCCACACCCCCGGTAGCTGGTGCAAGAGACCTCAGTTGTCAGCACTGGTGGGAGCGGTAGCCGGGAGTTCCGCGCCACAAGTCCCGCGCCACTTCTGATTCCCTCGGTCTGGCTATGGAGCTCACAGGAGAGCTGGGAGGGGCTCTTAAGGTTTCCCCGCTGTGTGGAGAGAGATGGCTAGGGGATTACACACCTGTCGCGCTGGATTCAATGAAGTTATCTCCTCCGCCCGTGACGTCAGCTCTCTGCCAAGGTGGTATCCCGTTCACTGTGGTGTTCACGGGGGTGTTCGCAGTGCCAGGCGGGCGGGGGCCTGTTCGCTGTGCGGGCGGGGCTGTTCGCAGAGCCGGGGGTCGGGAGCTGTTCACCCGAGGGGGGGGGAGGGGGGGTAGTTTGCAGCACCGAACCGCCGGGGGCGGTTTACAGAGCCGGGCCGGCAGGGGCCTGGGCAGGCAGCGGCTGATTAAACGTTCGCCGCCGGGCTAGTGGCGGCGGCCGGCGGGACTGGGCCCCTGCACCTCGTGGCCAAGACAAACTGATACTTCCAATAGACTTACTAATTCCCGGCAGGTCTCCTTTCAGCGGAATTTTGCTAGAAGTTTCTCAGCAGGTAGCATGTAGGTGTATTAATGGGTCTCTCTGATCCCATTACTGTGGAGGTATTGAAAGTGCTGCTTCCTCGCCGGCCGCCATGTTGGGTCTCAGTTAGCAGTATTGTCTAGAGCAATTATTTACTTTGTGCTGGATGGTGATCCTGTGTCCCACCGAAGAAAAAAATATGACTTCCTCCTACTGTCTCTAATAATAATGTTCATCTTGAATAAACAAAATTTAAAAACACAATTTTCTGGAGAAGAAAAAATGCTATCATGCTGAGACAGCAAGGTCAATATTATTTTAGTTTATTGATAAAATTAGCTTTGCATATTGAATTTAGTGAGAGGCTTATAGTATGGCATTAAGATTTAGGAATAAAAAGTGGGCATAAATTGGAAAGTTACTGAGAATATTATTATCAGTATTAAAAGTCCCAGGATTATTAGTAAGAGTAGCCCCAACAGTAGTATTAAATACAGTGAACTAACAACTACTTCATCTAATCCTCAATTATAAAAGCAAAATAATACTTTCCCTGTCTAACCCACACCATTACTATGAGGAGCAAATAAAATAGAGATAAAATCGAACTGGTATAAAGTGTTTTAAAATATTTTTAACCCACTGAATTTAAGCTTCCTTCCATATTCAGAAAACAGCTACATAATTCAACACCTTAGCAAGTTGGTAATGTCATTATACTTATTTTTACAGCTGAGGATACACAGTCCTAAAGAGGTGAAGAAACTCATCTATGGTCACAGAGGAATGAACACAGAGGGAGGATGGGCTTTAAGCCCAGGTCTGATTCCAAAGTCCATGCTTTTAACCTCTATTTTACTAAATCCAGAGTATTTCTGTGAAGGTTAACAGATTAAAAGAGATGTTTATAAAATAGGAGCAAATTTGCATTCATTATACACCTAAGGGCCTCAACCCAACTGCCCACAGTAGGGAAGAGAGTGGGCCAAACAGGTCCTTTCCCATACCACTTTTTTCCTCAAAAAATTTTTTTTTATTTAAAAAAAGTCCTATGACTCATGTTTTTTCATATATAAAATATATATGTATTTTTTAAGTGATTTAGACTGAACCTAGGATAGCTACCGAAAAGAGGACAAAAATCAACTAAGAGCAAAATACAGAGGGCTGGGGCTGTATCTCAGTGGCAGAGTGCTTACCTGCCACTGTGTGAGGCACTGGGTTCGATCTTTAGCACCACATAAAAATAAACAAATAAAATAAAGGCATTCTGTCCATCTACAACTACAAAAAAAATTTTTAAATATTTAGAAATACAAAGTAACTTTCAAAATACTGGGATGAACTGCCTTTCATTGGGCTCTAACCCAGGAAATTGCATTGGGAAAAGTGACTCTTGTCAAATGTCACTTTTATGTAAATGCTAATAAATAATCATAATACAATCTTAAAATCAACCCAAAATCAAAGAGAAGTTAGCTTTCATACTCTTAAATAGGGATGAAATGGTTATATTTGAGCAGTTGTCCTAATAACTTAACTGGGGGAATCCACTGAGGCTCAGCTTTTCCCACAATAGCTAAAAACAAATAAAAAACCATTCGAGAATGACAACAAATACAGTCTTTATTCTCTGTGGTACAAGAAACCAATCACAAGCCCATCTTTGTGAGACCTAGCTAACAAGAACATTATTTGAGTTGGGTAGAAAGAGAAGGATGGATTGCCAAGGGGGAAAAGTTATTTATTAGGCTGTGACAAGCTTTTAAATGTTTGCATTATCATTAGCCAACTGCTTCGTTCTCTAGTTTGCACACCTGCTGCCTCCAGCCAAAGCTATCGAAGTAGCAAACCTAAAAGCAGGGACCACCTCTAAGATACTGGCACCCTCTTCTGAGTCTTTTGTAGTACTGCATGTACAAGTTTCTGAAGTTATTTTTTTCTTAATAAAACTATAAACTAATAACTTTGTGGGTAATATTTTCCAGATGATTTTAAATTTCTAATTCTGTGAATAAAGCTAAATTTAGCCCAATAAATACATGAAAAGCATCTTCAAAACAAATTTATGCCAATAAAAGAAAACCAACTATGTTCTCCTAACAATCCTAACAGTTTATATATATGAGCTGATTTTATTACAAGAATTATAATGATGATGACAATAACTATATATAAACACCATATGATGTTCCTGGTACTAGACATGAATAACTAGCTTAATTTTAAGAGCAAATTTAGGAGCTGATACTACTAGTCAGTTCATGTTATAAATGTGGCTAGAGAGGCATCATGAAGTTAAGTACACACCCAAGGTCATGCACCTAGTAAGCAAGTGGTAAATATAAAAGTCCAAACTCAAAAAAGACGACTCTAGAGCCTTAACCTTTATTGCACCTTGTGATTTTATACGCAAATCTCTCTCTGAGGTAGAATGGAATTGATATGATAAAATTAAATATGATTTTAAAAGAAAAAAATGTGAATTATAAGAAAATGTCAACTACATCAACAAATCTCTCATTTTCCACAAAGCGTGAAACTATACAGACAAAAAAAAAAAAATACAACATGAAATAGTTTCAGTCCCTTCCACAAGTCTTTTTCCATTCCTCCCATACTTGAAGATTCTGTTTCTCCAAAACTATGATGCTTTTATTCTTTTTCCTCCACATTCCTTTGTCGATCAAACTATGCCCTTATTTATCTATTGTCTGGTTGTTTTTTAAAAAAATTAATCTACATTATATGCTTTATCTTTCTTTTATATAGAACTACTCCCTATTCCTACCTAAATTATATCTATTTCACTGAGATCTTTTTTAAATATTTTTATTAAGACAGTATCCAAATAAGAACACCAATTCCTTGTCTTTGATCCTTGAAAATTCAACAGATGAGAATTTCCCTGGGATTACTTACTCCTCCCTGAAGTGAGGGCCAATAGATGAGATAATCTAAGATTTCTGAAAACACTAACTTTATTTTCAAGCAGGATATACATGAAAAGACACTGTCTAATGATCTATAGTTCAAAACTACATCTATTTAGAACATTTACAGATTCTACAACGTGCCTACATAAAACTATTCATAATATTAAAAATTAGGATGTTTTGCATATAACCCAAACACAGGATAATTAACCTCATTGACACTCATGACAATTTACAATGGATGAGAATTAAGGCTTCTAATGCAATTATTTCTTTCTTATAAGTATCCTTTCATTTGAATATTTAGAATATACTCTAAAGTACAAACTTGTTAAAAGTCTAAAATATTAAAATTGTAAATAAATAGCACAGTTTTAATTTGTTAGAGCTAAGAACAAGTGGAACAAGGTGATTAGATTTTAGTACAATAAATGATCACACTGCTGAAGAATAAATTATAACATTATTCATATTTTCCAAATCTAAATATTAAAAAATAGCACTTTTGAAAATATGTCAAGGTATCAATTCCACATGCATCCCAGAATCCCTTTACCTCGGTCTGCAGGATGGCAGCTCTTTGTTCCTTAGCAGTCAAGGACTCCTTCAGCACCTCAATGTGTTGTTTACTGTCGGAGAACTGGTTTGTGAGCGTTTCTAGCTTTGTCTGTAGGGCGAGTAGTTCTGTGTCTTTTCTCGACAGCTCCTGTTTCACCTGGCCAATCTGGAAAAAAAAAAAAAAAACACTCTAAAAAAAAAAAAAAGACCTCTCATCTTGACCTCTGACAAATCTAAATCACAAGATACAAAACTAAGACAGAAGCCTGGGGTGTAGCTCAATGGTAGAGCACCTCCTTAGCAGGCACAAAGCCCTGATTCATTTCTCAGCACAGTAGGTAGGTAGGTAAGGTAAATAAATAAATAAGATACAACATATTCATCTCCTTTCCATCATCTTATGTTGGATCTCACCACCACCTCCACATCCCCTAAAAATGAAGCTTATTCAACAAAGAGGGAAATTTCCACTTTTCATTTGTTGTCTTCTAAATATTCTTTGAAACCCTTTAGAAAAGAAATGGAAAAAAATTTCCAACTCAATTAGATAACTATAAGATAGCAGTATGCACCTAAACTCCACTGTTCTAAAAAAGCAGTTTCCATTTTATTAAATCAGATCTCTCTAGAATGTAATGGATCAAACGTTAGATTAATGTACATATATAACAGAAGGAAAAAAGAAACCTCCTGATACTACGATTTAAATTCAAAAGGTAGTGCTGCATCTCTATTTTTTTGTTAAGTTTTATTCTCATTCTCAAACAAGTTTCATAGAAGCCTTATCTTAAAAGTTGTTTCTTTCAGTGCTACAAGTTATTACAGACATGTGTTTTTTAAAATTGTATAATTTTTGTTATGTGTATAAAACTTGACAAAAAAGATTCTATCTATAAAGTTCTATCACCTACAATGTGTCATACCATCAAAATGGATAAAAGTTAATGCATTAAATCTCTGTAAAAACCTACATGTGTAATTTAAAGTTTGTTACTCTGAAAGGGTAATCCATAAATCAACTGATGCCATTCATTACCTCATAAAAATCTCTCTTAACTAGAAAATACTTTCTTTCAAACATTTCCTCTATATCCCTATTGTTTCTAAGAATTTTTTGAAGTCTTTTATTCTAAATGTAAACCAAATAAACATAAATTAGATCTGCTTTTATATTAAGTCTACCACCCAACAAGGTACTAAAAGACATAGTTGAAAGTATAAATTAAACAAAAAGTCAGTAATTTCATTATCACTGATTAAATGAAAAGTCCTTTTCTTTTTCTTTCTTTTTTCTTTATGGTAGTGCAGGGGACTGAAATCAAGGGTGCACTACCACTTAACTACATTCCCAGGCCCTTTTTATTTTGAGATGGGGTCTCATTAAGTTGTTACGGTTGGCCTCAAACTTATGATCCTCCTCCCTCAGCCTCCCAAGTAGCAGGTATTACAGGCATGAGCCATTGCATCCCACAAGTCCTTTATTTTAAAAAAAACTAAATACTAGAGTATTTTATTGTAATAATCTCAGGTAAAAGGGGTAAAGCTTTTAAAAACAATTTCCCAAAAGGAAATAAATTTTACCAGAAAATTTTAAGAAACACTACAAATTTCTATTTTAGACTTCCATTTTAACAAAAAAAAATAAGCATTTTTCTCATATGAAATCTGTTTACTAATAAAGTTATGCATTCATACAATATTTCTGTATGCTTATTATAGGCCAAGTACTTGTAGATACTGATGATATTTCTATCACTTTATCAACAAATAATTCACATTACTATTATCCCATCCCTAACACATAGATTGCACTAAAAATGCATCTGTTTTATAAATGAATATTCAGAAGAAATGTTTAAAGTGTTACCACTTCCTTAGTAAAGAACTATGGCCTAAACGTTATTCAAATTTCCAGCTACTTCCAATCATAGGATCAAAAATAAATATAAAATCTCAGTTTCCTCATCATCTGCATTATTGAATAAGCTTCACATACTGTTATACTGGCAGGAAAGACTGAAAAAGGAAAGAAAATATTTTAAACGAAATTTAGAAGCACAAATTTTCCTTAAAGACTCAGAAGAGGAGAGAATATTATAAACAAAAAGCAAATAATAAAAAGTCACAAGCACAAGACTTTGCAGTCAGCCACATGTTAGGCTGAGAGAGCTATGTCTTTGAGCAATTACTCTGCCTCTTTAAATTTTGGTTTCCTAACTTGTAACAGGAAGAAATTATACCAGTGTCACTTTCTTGTTTAGGGATTCAATAAAATAATGTATGAAATCCATTTTGCCTAACATTACACAGAAATGAATAATAGTAGCTAAAAAAATAAAGGAAATAATAGATTATCTTCTCCTCTAGACATGGTCAAGCCATTAGCCAAATTAGACTCTTTCAAACAAAACAGTTTGCTTTTTATCAATACTATAAAGTGGTTCATAAACAGCAAACATACCAAATCAGCACAAGATTTTTTCTATTCTGCATTACAGTCTTAGCCAACAATTATTTCAATAAGCAGTTTTCCTGACATATTGACAAGTATGTACAAAGCTGAATACAGGGCAGACAGTGAAGAACTCACAAGCATAGTTTCTGAAACCAGAATGCTTGTATAAAACCAAACCCTGACTCTTAAAAACTGTCTTTTCCTAGGCATCATTCTGTTTTCTTGGTTTCCTCATCTATAAATTGCGGTTGATAAATTCAGAAGGTTATAAAGAGCTTACAATAAATTAGTATTAGCTATTTTATTATTATTGATTATTATGTTTTGAAATGAAATATTAAGTTCATTAAACAGAAGGTTGAACTAGATTTAGATACTTGATATGTCACACACTAATTCAAATTTACTGATAACTCTAAATAAGCTAATTATTTTCTATCCATCTGCCCTAAAGAAAATAACATTTGCTGCAGAATCACTTAATGAGAATTTAAAGGCAATGTCTACATAAGAGGTATTCTACGTGAGAATTTCAAATTCAAATGAACTCTAGGTGATGGGCCTAAAACATCTGGAATTCCTGCATGTAAGAAGAAAAAAGACCACTATTTATATAAATCAACAAGTATCTAGTAATAATGGCTTGAGGGGGAAAAACAAGCTTTGAAATACCTTCCATAGAAGAATAAAAGCAACAATAAAGAACCATGTTATAGGGCTTCCAGAAAACACAGGGCTCAGTGCATACAAAGTGGCATCTGGGTCAAACTAGTGAACAGGAGTCAGTTAAAGAACAAAGCAGGCTGGTTAGTGCTAGTGGTGGGCGAAGTTGCCAACCACAGAGAATGAAAGTGTAAGCCACCCAGAAGCCAGAACTGGCAGGGTCCCACTGCAGGATCACTGCACACAAAGAGGTAAATCTTACGGCAAAGACCTCAGCCTGAAGACCAGCTGCTCTCTTTTTCAGCTCCTCCCCTTGAGCCTCTTTCGAACTTAGTTCCTCCTTCAGTTGCTCTACCTGTCACGACATTGTTATTCTTTTTCACTCATGTGTCAAGTTAGGTCATCTTATTAACTACTTTTGAGCCAGAACTGCCACTGGAAATAACAATGACTCATTTACACAATTAAATCTGTTCCCCTAATTCCCTCTTCAAAGGGACATAGAAGGTTTCTCAGTTTTCACAGGATTGTGTGTGGTTTTTTCAGTTTTGTTTTGATTTTTTAATAAACTGTCATGTGCTGTCAACAAATGGAAAACATAAACATACAGACTTTATTGCAGTGTATTTTGTTGTCAAGGGGTGAAAAACCCAAACTAATAGAAGGACGGATATGTGAATTTTTAAGTTCAAAAATTAACATGAAATTGCCAGATGTCATTGATAATAGATTCTTTTTTTTTTTTTTGGCCGGGGGTGGGGGGGGAGTACCAAGGATTGAACTCAGGGACACTCAACCACTGAGCCACATCCCCAGCCCATTTTGTGTCTTATTTAGAGACAAGGTCTCACTCAGCTGCTTAATGCCTCACCATTGCTAAGGCTGGCTTTGAACTTGTGATCCTTCCTGCCTCAGCCTCCCAAGCCACTGGGATTACAGGCATGTGCCATCATGTCCAGCTGATAATAGATTCTTAATAGTAAGGAAATATTTTACAGACATATAAGGCAGGTGTGGGTACTACAACAAGAAACCAGAAATGCGGGAGGGAGTTACCATGGTGTTATCTCTTACACTACTGTGAATGTTTCAGTTTTCAGTTCTTGGGTATCCATTTGGGTAATACAGTCGAGAAATACTGTCAAATTAAAATTTTACTACCATTACAATTGTGATTTTTAATTAAACCACAACAAAACTGATACCTATAATAAACTAAATCCTTCAATTTGTCTAAACAGTTTATCAACTCAAACTAAATGACTTTGGATATAAGGAAGAAATAATGTGACTGATTTTAAAACACATGGTGTCAAGTAAGTCTCCATGGTATCTATCTTATTACACTATACCTGAAATGGACATGGGAAGCAAAAAACCTGGGGGCAAATGGACCTTCTCCAAGGGATACAGCACAGAGCTTTCCTGTATTTAAAGGGGAAACACAGTTTCATTTAACCTATTTCAGGAAGGAGGAAAAAAAAAAAAAGCTGGATTCAGCCTCTTGGGATTTTGACTTAAAATATTTCACAAGAGGTAGAGAACTGGATGTCTCATATAATAAAGAAAAACACATCTGGATATAATACTACTAAATCACCTCAAAAGTACTTATAGATAGGATAAGTTAAATTATAAAAATATATACTTTGTCTCATACAAGTACTTTTATTTTAAATAAAAGCTTATAATAACTGTATGATATCAGTAATTTTGACCTAAATTCTGGGAAAATTCCATTTAAAAGAATGCTTCCCCAATGTCTGATAAAACAATAAAGTAGATCTTTATCATTACTAAAGAGGTAAAAATATGCATCAATCTTTCACATCACTCCTATGAACTATAGTAGTATTATACACCATTACCTTGTTTTTCATAAATTTAGAATGGCTGCGATACACCTCCATTTGCTTCATTTCTTCCTCCCGTTCTTCAGTACTCAAAGCCCCATTTGATTTCAGCATCTGAATTTCCTCTTCCAGGTCCCGGAGCCCACGCTCCATAGAGGAAATTTTTGAATCCTGAGGACAACAGAAGAGTCAAACATTAGAGTATTCACAAAAACTCAGAGAAACTAAATAAACAGGTCTTTTTAAATGTTAAAATTAATAAAGATAAATAGATATACAAAAAATGCTGCCGTATTTGGTGACTTGCTTCTAAAAGACCTCCTTTATAGTCATCTGGGTGAGGGGAGGAGGACTTTCATATCCACAATATGATTTTCTGTACCTCTTCCTCTAGTTCTAGACCCTTTTGATCAAAATTGAGATCACTAAAGAAGTAGAAGCAATGGAGAAATGGTTAAAGTTTCTTTGCATTTTATGAATTGACAAATTTCTGGTGTGGGGGGGCAGTAAAGGCTTTTCTAGTTCCAGTAGTTTATCATTTTACTTAGTGACCCCTATAAAGGCATAGTTCCCCCCAAAGAGGGAGAAGGAGTAAGAAGGTTTCAAAGATTTATAATAATGCATGTAACTGTATATGTGTAATAAAAATTTTATAACATTCTGTTTCAGAAAAATAAAGGTATGATTATATTAACAGGTGCTTTTTATAATATTAGCAATCTTTCTCTACTCCATACATTTGAAATACTTAATAATTTTTTAAAAACTGGGCACATTAGCATATCTCTATAATGCCAGTTACTCAAGAAGGCTGAGGCAAAAGGATCACTTCAGCCTTAGAGTTCAGGGCCAGCTGGGCCACATAGCAAGAATCTTGTCTCAAAAATAAATAATACAAAATACATGTATGAAGATGTGAGAAGGAAAACAAAAAAAATAGTGTTACCCTAGATTAGGGAGAGAGAAGTGATGGGAGGGGAGGGGAGGGGTTGGGGACATAGGAAGGATAGTAGAATGAAACAGACATTATTATTACTATGTGTATATATGTGAATGCATGACCAATGTGATTCTGCAACCTATATACTCAGAAAAATGAGATATTATATCCCATCTGATTCAAATGTATGATATGTCAAGGTCATTGTACTGTCATGTGTAACTAATTAAAACAAATTAAAAAATAAAATAAATAAAATTATTTCTATGAAAAAAAAATAAGTAAATAAAAATCCCTGTTCTTGTAAATAATCATCCTTACCACAAATATCACCTTCTAGTATTAGATCCCTCTATATTCAATTTCTTGATTTTGTTTTTCACAGTATCTAATTTATCTCCAGATTACTGATGCATCCATTACATGAAAATTCCTGCATGGAATGAATAGTTCACATTTGTTGTTGCACACACTTATTTGTCTAAGAAATAGAGACCATAAAGAGTCTAAATTAAGCACAGTTTATTTTACTTAAGGCTTTAGAAAAAAAAAAAACTTCGAAATTAATTTCCTTTCCCATTTACCTCAAGGATTTCTTAGTTGGCTTTCCTTGCCATCTTAATTCCTAGAGCATGAAGATCAAATAGCTTAAGGATCTGTCATGAGACAACTACAGCTAGTTATTTTCAGGTTTAAGGACAAGAGGAAGGGGAAAGTGCCCTTGTATCACTTATTGTAATACCTTTAAAAATATATATCTGAAAAAAAATAATCTAGTCAAAATTTGTATTTTGTTCAAAATTAAATGTATTGAAAACAACACACTTAAACAACAATTCAACTTCAACCAGGATTATGGTTTATTCATTTAAAAACAGTCAGCCTAATGCCATCTCCCAAGCCATAAGAGTACTACTTTAATTGCACTATCTGAACTTTCCTTTTGGAAGCTTTCTATAAATTTTTCTGTAAGTATCAGGATACAATTCCCTAAAAATGACTAAAATACTATCCATGTGCATGTGACTAAAAGAAAGTGAAATGTAGGTTTCCACTGGGGGTTAAAAAAGAGAACCAACTTTAAAGAGGGGTGGGGGGAGGGGGGGAGAGGGAGGGAGGGGGGAGAGGGAGGGAGGCGGGGTGGGCAGGCACTTTTCTAGCAAAACTAGGGCTCCACAAAAGACAACAGAGCCCTAGGTAAGAAATCCAGCTTTGCACATCACATGGCAGATCCTACCTGTACAAAGCCTCTACATGGCCCTGGCCAAAACACCTTATCCATCCTCTCCCCCATCCTCCCAAAACAATGACAGAAAGGCAGCTCTTGACCAAATCAGCATGCATCATAAAAGCTACTTCCCAGAAAGAAACTGCAGCTCTGAAAACCATGAGGCAGACACTGGCTATCCATAAAAAGAATCTGCCAAGCTGTTGTCTGAAATCAGATGAGAAAAGTAATGCCTAATATTCAAATGGTACCAAGTCTGGATTTATTTGAGGGTAGTTACTCCAAACAGATTTCTCACTCCTAGAATGTGTAATAACTAAATAAATATTTTTGCCTTCTCATGCTCTATTTCCCTGGCCCTGGCTCCTCCATCATTGATCAAGCAACACTACTGGGCCTGATGAAATACTCTACTTCTTGCAAAATTCCCCAGGACCTCAACTTTCAAAGATTGTCTCCCTGTTCCAAGTAAAATCTGGCTTTCCCAAAGGATATAATTTCCCTAAACTCTCTCCAATAATCTCTCTGCTCCACAAAGGGCCTGGGTAAAGGGTTAGCATTCTCTTGGTTCCGTCATGCTGTTTCCTTCATATGCAGGTCCCTTTTCACTCCATCCTCCTCACCCTGCCATCTAGGGACTTCTCAAACACTCCCGCAGATTTATGAAGTCTTTGGCACAAGTTCACAGCCTTTTCTTTAATTGCCACTGTTGTCAGTCATCACCCTAGGATTTCAATGTCAGAAATCCTTGAGAGCCACAACTCCAATAACCTCATCTTCAAGTCCATTTTAGCTACTAGTTTACAGGACCATACACTGGATCCGATCCCATCATCACCCAGCCCTCTCTTCCCAGGCCTCACACACCCTTGCCCTGGTTATTTATGTTCTTCAACCTCACTTCCCTAACATTCACATTTTCTCCAAACTGTGAGTTCATGTGAATCTTCTTTCTTCCATATATAGGGTATAGTCCAGGACTTCTTATCACCCTCAATTCATTTGCATCCCAATAATTCTGCTCTATCTACCCAGTGAAACTTAGACCCTAGGGCAATACAGTAATTCTTCCTTGATCCTCCACTAGTGAAGGAAAAAGAAAGAAAAAAGAAAAAGGTAGAGATATAAAATGAGGCAGAAAATAGGAAGGGGGCAGAGAAATAAAGGAGGAAAGGAAGAAAGGGGGTAGACGAAGGGATAATAAAGGAAAGAGAAGAAGAAGAGAAAACCATACTCCCTTGACGATTACTGAGTTGTTTCACTGTGGATCATTCTTTCTCCTATTTCCCCAAAGACTATCCCAGTCTTCATAATTCTCCCAAGCTCATGCCGCATTCTCAGAAACTCAGCTATTTTGGTTATGAGTTCAGCATAACATACACTTGACCCCTTTGGTCCACCAGAATCTCTTGTATCTCAACACAAGGTTAACACACTTAAAACAGACTCACTGCTAACTAATACAATTACATTTCCCTGTTTTGTCAAAATATGAGTAAAAGAATAATTATGTAAATAGGTACATTCATGTTTTGTTCTTAGGTATCAACAGGGATCAGGAAATAACATGCAAAATAAATCTGTAGTGAATGTGAATAAGGTAAAACCATGCAATTAAACCATTCTAAAGGCTCTTACAAGATTGTATTCAAGACTGCTAATTATAATAACTACCCCAGAAATCACTCATTTGAAGTGGTAAACCATTTCACCATTAAGAATAAAAATATAGGCAGCTGGGGTGTGGCTCAGCGGTAGAGCACTTGCCTCCCATGTGTGAGGCACTGGTTTCAATCCTCAGTACCACATACAAAATACATGTATGAAGATGTGTGGTGTCAACATACCTTGTATACAAACAGAGATATGATAAATTGTGGTATGAAGGTGTATTAAGAATTGTAATGCAAAAAAATAATAATAAGAGCTCATGTATAATAGCATAATTTGGCATGAACATACTTTATATACAGAGTTATGAAAAATGGTGGTGTAAATGGATAATTATGAATGTAATGCACTCCACTATTGTCATGTATATAAGAATACATTAAAAAAAATAAAGATATTGTGTCCATGTATAACTAAAAAATATTTTTAAAAAATATATATATATAATATAAACAAAGTTTTAAGAGGAAATTGTCCAAATTATGAGAACAATTCTTATAACTGTACTTGAGAATTATCTACTTACATAAAATTATTCATATACCAGTATCTAATATTCTTATTGACTCAAAGTCCACAAGCAAAACACAATCTGGAGCTTTTGGAGGGATACAAACAACTTAAAGGGGAGGGAGATAAATCCCTATATTAAAACCTTCATAAAACAGAACACAGTTAATATCAGCAGAAGCAGATAATACAGATTGCTAAGAGCCACAGCCAAGTAATATGATCATGGCATTTTTGGTTGAAAGGTGATGCCAGCAAGCCATTGAGATGATATGATTATGTTAAGATTTGCATTCATATGGATATTGGACTCCTGCTGTCCACCTCGGCCTGCTACGGGAATCCTGGAGAGTTCCCATTGGTTGGGGAAGTGCAGTAGGAGGGAAACTTCCTCTTGGGGTTCCGCGTGCGTCGATTGGCAATCTTCCCGGGAGCTTATGGGGCATTGGCGGCAGTTTCAAAAAATAAAGTTTGTTCCTGCTTGAGTGGCTCCTGATTTTGTGCCCAGCCAGACTGCTGCAACTGGTGGCCCGTACGGGGAACGCCTGAAGCTTGGAGGTAAGTAAAACTGCTCGCCCCTGAGGGAAGGGTGACCATTTCAAAAAACAATGTGTTCTTGTTTTGATTTATTTTATTTTTGTTTCAAGCTGTCTATCCTTAGAACTTTCTCAGGCAAACTGGGAAAAATGGTTGGCTCAAGGTTTGAAGTTCTTCGGCCCTGAGAAAGAGAAAATTGATACAACGATTTTTTGTTCCGTTTTTGTTTCATTCTGTTTCAGTTTTGTTTTATGCTATCTTATTGGGTTGTGTTACCTTTATAGT